TTAAATCTTCACTGATTGTTCCAGCCCTCGTTGTAGAAGTCACATATGATGCTGCACCATGGTTTCACACAAGTTACGAGCCTCAAACCATTGTCTTTCTCTTGCGACTCCAGGGTGATCTGTGGCAGATTTGACGACGCAAACCCTGTGAATAAATCTGTACCGCGGCTCAGCTTACCCTGCGCGAAGATCAATGCAGTTGCCGTTGGCGTGTCAGCGAAAACCAAAGTTAGTAAGACTAAAACAACGGAGTAACCTAGAACTGTGACCTCTGACTTTCAGATATGGAACCTCAGACTGATATTGAGCAATATTCACCTCTATGGCAAACGTGCTGATTTTCTTCATCAGCAGGTTCGCCTCAACGAAATATTTCTATACGTTTCATTGTCCTCCGTCGCTTTCACAACCATTTGGCGGTTTCCACATGCGAAAAATTTCGAAAAGAAATCTAATCCCTTTGAGAGCTGTTTTACTAAACGAAGCCGTACTCCGGTCGATGCATTTATTTGATGACTTCCTCAGGCCTTTGGTCGTCAGCACCTCCTCGTTCTTGACCATGTGGTACCATTGCTCTTCGAGGATACGTCGTAGACAGCACTGAGGGAAGCGATCGAGGCGTGCTTCATTGTGTTTAAAGATTGCACATGTCTTGAGAGTCTAGACGAACACCATGAACACGGCTGTTTTCAGGATGATGACTTCTTGTCGGATTTTATAGTACGATCCTTCGATACCCCTTATAGCTTACCGAAATTTGATGATGCCCGTCCAACACGCTGAATCACTTCAAGATCACTGTCTCCCTTGTTAGCCAACACAGTTCCAAGGTATTTGAAATGGTCCACCTCTTCCATCGTGATGCCATTCCACAATATCCTTGGACTGTAGATCGCGCCGGAAGCACTCAACAGAGTCATCGTCTTTCTCGCGTTCACTTGTATCCCAGTACTCACAGCGTTGTTGCATAAGCTTTCAGTAAGTGTCACTAGGTTATTTGCAGAGTCGCTTAGCAGCGCGACATCATCGATGTACTCAAACTCCGCAAGGAATACCTCTAAGTATCCCTCGCTGCATCGCTGACTAACCGTCAGTCCCTCATTATTACTTGGAATGAGGCTCGTTTGCAACGTGGTTTGCCATGATGCTCAGCAACCAGGGAGAGGGCAACCACCCTTGACAAATTCCACGGCGATGTTGAACAAGGCCAACAGTGATCCTTTAGGTAAGCGCATTTACTGTCTTCCTAAGGACCTACTGTCAGCATAACATAATAAGAAATAACACACCTGAAATGAATCGAAGGCTGACCCGCCATCCAGACACCTCGTACGTTAGGAAAGTTCGAAGCTCCGGCACTGTTCGATCACTTCGATGTTTTGCTTCAGGACAGAGACGTGGTCTGTGTATGAATGCCCATTTCAGAAACCTGTTTGGTTAGATCGAGGGAAATAATCGATGAACTTCGTTGGAAATAAACGATAAAAATGTTTCGAGCGAATATTTCGTACCAGCAGCTCGACCGTCACTTCATAGATTAGAATCCTTATTTTTATTTTTCAGTTTTCTGCAATCACCGACGTGCCATATACGATCAAATGCCAGGTAGAATTAATGGATAAGGTTTCCACCCTCACACCTCAGCACATTCTAAAAAAATTTCTTCATTTTCACAACACTCAGAGCCTCGGCAGAGTACCATTCTTTTCGTCGATGTCTTCGATCACTGGTGGAGCGCAGTCAGCATCTAGATCTTTCCCAGCGTCCTCCTGTCCATTTAGAAAATTACTCCAAAATCAGGCTCATCTAGGAGTTCCGCGAAATGTTTGCCCATCGCTTCCAACAGACATCAACGCCTCTGTAACGGCTAGTTACTCGTTTACTCGTTATGTTTAAACCCAGCGACGGCAGGCATTTCTTGGCTATCGCTGATGACGACGTTCATCGTGCATAGATACATCCACCATTCAGTATTTCCTAGTACTTTCGACGGATTTTCCTGTATCTCCGCTTCGAGGCCGAGCGATAACTGCCTCTCTCGCCATCACTTCCTTGATGCAAAGGCAAAATAAGCTTACCCCTGTCACGTCAAGGTCTCGAAAGCACACCTTCGCCACGTTTCATTACTGAAAAGGATAGGCAGTTTGCCTCGTGACACAGGATAGCTTAGGCTTCCTGTATCAGATACCAGTGGTCTTCGTACCGCAGCAACGATGCCTTCGCTAGGTCTAGGTATATCATAGCATCT